TAAAAAAAGAAATATTTGCACTTTGACCTTTTTTTGTGCATCGCGGTAAAGGATACACACGATGCTGTGAACTGGGATTGCTAGGAGATGCTGTCACATCTTTACAGCAAGCCAGGTGTGTTAGTGACAGAGACACTGACACTGTTGTCAGCTCAGAACTGATCCAGCTGACAACGACTGCCCGAGGGCCAGTTTTGTGGTCGATGAAGCACACACGATAAGGCATCACTCAACTCTCCAGCCCGCTGCACTGTCATCCCGGTCAGTGTTTCACACCTCCCGCCCCGCTGCCGTCCAACAACAGCAAATAAGGGCACCATTACAATTACAGAACAGAGGGAATAAAGCTGCTGTTCCTCTGTGAAGCTGTTTTATGGGTCTGTTCTTAGGTTTACTTCACGGCCTGGAGTCGGTGAAGCTGGGTGCAGTTTTTGTGACTCACTAAATCACTGACTCACTGGTGGCTAAGTTACAGAAGGGAGGCAACTTCAAAAAAAAACAAAAAAACTAGCTGGAGCTGGGAGATGTAAAGGCAGAGCTGCAGTCGTGGTGACGAGATAACAGACTGACGCTAGCAATAATGTCCGAAGATCCAAATTAGCGCCTTACCTTTTCACCTCGTTCTCCCATTTCACCCTGTTAGGAAGGAAAGCAGAGCAGCAGAGACAGAAAAAATGAGGGTTTGGGTGGGTTATTGCACACTCAGGGTCAGATCGTATCTGGGGTTAAATTCACATTTGATTATAAATGTTATGACTGCTTTTTTCCCCAGACAGACCCTGACATGAACTTTTTTGTTTTTTAAATTTAAAATCGTTCTTGCATTATCATTGCAACATATTTTTATACCATGCATTAAAGTCTTCATGGATGATATATATTTTCTGTTACATCAAAGACGAACACATGTATATGCATGGTTTTCAAAACCATGAAAAAGAAATCACAAAGGGACAAAACGGCTGATGGTCAAAAGGTAAGATGAAAAATGACTGAAAGGGGGAGATGCTTCTGTGAGAGGATAAGGGAAGTATTGAAAATGACTTTAACCCTCTGGAGTCAAGGGACATCTCCAAATCACATGACTGAATTAAGATGACCCTGCAGGAAGACGCAGCCTCACCGAGTCTGTGTTTCAGTTTGTGTTAAAAGTGTGAACTATATACTAACAGTGCAGCTACGTGGAAGGTTTCTGATGTGATAATGATATTGTTAAGCTATGTAAAATAATCCATATATCAGCAAAAGTGTTCACATTGAGTCTTATATTTTAGATCATCTCAACAGATATTTGGAATTCAGGTATTTGTTTTAGTTTGATATTGCAAAGTTTGCTGGCAATGGTTGCTGCTGCTGTCACAAAGTGCAGGGTGGGATAACATGACTTTGACCTCAGAGGGTTAACCCCAAAAAAAAGGGGGGGAAAAAGCGACTGCTATGACTTTACAAGAATATGAGCACACAGAATATGTGTGCACCCCGACCTTGGCTCCTGGAACACCGTCCAGTCCTGGGATGCCAACATCCCCCTACGGACAGCACAAGATACACACAGTGACTGACTCAGTGTGCTGTGTAAGCAGTTCGACTAAAGATTCAAGGTCAGGAGATATGACCCCTACACTCCCCAGCCCACAAAAAACAAACAAAACAAAAGAAAATGCATATTTTTCTTCTTAAAATTGAGATAACAATTGACTCAGACATAAGAGCGAGTGTATGGTGCAAAGGGCTTTTGCAGGATAGTTGGTAATGCAGCACGAGACAGGTGAGCTACAGCTTCACTGACAGAACTGCTGTAAGGAGCGTAAATGTACAGCTACAGCACTATGAATTCTATAACATTCCCCAAAAGTTCACATGTATCAAATATTGAAACCACAAAGTGAATGTGAAAGACGAGAGGATAAACAAGCTGATTAAAAGCTTAATTATCTGGTTTGGTTCTGTGTATGTGCAGAAGAAGAAAAGCCAAGCCCGTCTGACGGATGCCAGTTCGCCGTTAGCCTCGATCCCTTGTCTCCGCGGCTCCCTAGCTGAAAAACCAACCTCTGTCCATCTGCTGCCAGAAACAATTAACCTCCTGACCTTTGCAAACATACCACGTCATTACCCTTTCAGAGGAGCAGTAGTTATTCCTCAGCCTAGACAGACAGCTTTAACCAGATGAAGCTGATTAATGTAGCCAGAGTGGAAAAATAACGCAGTGCATTACTTGGATTAAAATACATGTCACCGGGCAGCTCGGTACTGGCCATATTCGAAGGAAAATTGTGTTACTGGATGTCATTTTTCAATATCTTAATGCTATTTTCACTGTTCCCCAAAATGCTTTATGTTCATGGGAAACTCAGCGTGCCTGGGTGTGTCCCTGCAGCTACACACTCGTGGTGATGTTCGTCATAAACGCCGCAGCCTCGGATCATTCGTCAGCCGCATATGGGAGTCATTGACATAATAATGACACCCTATTGACATAATGATGATAGAGTCTGATTAGAAACTCCAAAGGTTGGCTTGATAAGGTGGCATTAGTGATTTTGCTGGGATATCCATGTCAAATCAATACCGTGTCTGTGCGAGTGGACCCGCCACAGCCGCCTGAGCAGCTTTAACTGCTTTTGAGTCAAACTTTCTGCAAGAGTGAGACTTACATACCATAACAGGTTCTGCTTTATGACTGCACTGCACAGCATTGGAGATCTATTTCATGGCTGCTACAAAACCTCACTCCTTTCATTTTGGGAAGAGAATTAAGCTTTCAGCCTCCACTGTAGCCAGAGTTAGCATGGATTTTACTTTAAAATGAAACTTCTTCACTCTGGTTCCTATTACAGCCATACGTGCCTCTCCTTTCTTTATAAGTGCATGTTTGAGATTAGAGCGATGCAACCCTCAAACTGTCTCCCCATTCATTCTCTTCACTTATACCATCGTTTGTTCTGGAATAAATATGCGTTAGGGTAGGGTCTTTTTTCTCCTTCCCTGCACCCATTGTGAAACACCTGCACTGCGTCTTCTTTATCCGCTCCGAGAATGAATAGCAGACATGAGCCGAGTGTGTGAACAGATTCGGAGGCAGCCAGAACGGTACTTTGTGGTTAAGGCTTGAAGAAGAAGCCCACGGGTTTTCTCCCAAAACGAAATAGCGGTTTGAAACTGTCAGAACTTTTTTTTGATATAAAAAACTAAAACACATGGGGAGAAAGATTAACGAAAGATTAATGCTCAAGTGAGCCTTTTGATGATAAAATACTATCAGGTGCGCAGATGGATGCTGGTTCTCTGAACTTTGTGTGCATATTTTTATTTTAGGGACACTTATAAAACGTCTTGAGGGACAATAATACTGCCTAGTAGTGGTGTTTTTTTTCCTCTTGGAAAAGTACATTCACTAATAAAAACAACAGCAAGTTAGCAAGAACTAGTTAAAAGCCCAGAAGTGTAGAGCTTTCCAAGAATTCAGTGTAAATGAGTTTGCTCACCTTCAGTCCATCAACACCGGGGATGCCAGGAGGCCCGAGTGAACCCTGGGAAACAAAAGCAAAGGTTGTTGGGGTTTTTTGCATCATTACATTCGACCATCTCGCTGCTCGTACCGTCACGGCCGGCTCAACGGTTGTAAATAAACACCGGCGGCGTATCCGTTCTGTCTGCCGCTGATCAGGGCGTGCTCTGATGTTACTGCGCCAGACCAGCATAAATACTGCATGTCATATTTTATTATCCGCTCTGTTATGGACAATACAGCCAGAAGGCAAGACCGGGAGCTGAGGACACTCCTGCTGCACTTCAAACTGAAAATGTACTGCCCTGTGAAATAAAGAAACGTTTCGCACAGAAGATGTACTCGAGATTTTACCGCATCTACTGCGTCAGCTTAGTAAAAGTTGGTTTAGACTCTGAGGGCCAAGCGTGTTTTAATGAACGCTCGCTCCCTGTTCTTCGCGGTTTGCTTATGTTGGCTTTTTGCATCGCTTTCATAATAAAAGCCATTTACAGTTACCGGTCGCATTTAAAGATGTATCAGAGATGTTTGAGAGATGTGAGATACAGTCGCAGGACAGCATCGTGTCGAGGGTTGAAAACCGTTCACGCTGGACTTTTTCGTCATGCGGTGGCACCGAATCAGTCACCGAGCTGATGAAACTTGAATAACCCTCGACGCGGCCCCTCTACTAAACACAGCGCTCCACTAGCAGCAGATCTAATTGAGTAGCCTCCGGGCCTGGCTTATGAGTCATTAACACTGTGGTGTGTCATCATTGACCCCTCCACACACACACACACACACACTCCCTCTCCCACGCCGACGGGAGGCCTTGCCGACAGATGACAGTGCAGACAGGAAGTGTCTGATTGGGTTACACTGAACAAACACTGGCAGCTACCTGATGGCTGGATATAGCTTACATCTGTTCCTCACATCAGCGCCACCAGGGACCCGCAGCCTGTATCACAGCACTTAGCTCCAGGCTCTCTGTTCTCCATCTCTCTCCTTCTCTGTCACCCTTTTTTCCCCACTTCTCCTGTTTATTCACCATGACTGTGCAGTGTCTGTTGCTAATATGCAGGCAAACATACTCATCAAACAACACGTTTACAACCGTTTGTGCAGCGAGAGCTGCTATGAAATGAAAAACAGTTTGGTTTAGATCAGAATTCAACAGAGGGACAAAAAAAAAAAGTTTCCTTTGTACTTTTATGTCACAACCAAGTCAGCGAATCTCATTTAGTTTTCTTTAAGAAAAGCAAGAAATGCCAGCAAGAAGAAAGAAATGATTTTCTGTAACTTACCTTCGGCCCTTGCGGCCCCTCAGGTCCCTATAAATGAGAAGAGAGACGGAGAGAGATTGAGTGCAGGAGAAAAGCAGCAAAAATAGTTCATGTGAGATGAAATAATACAATTACCAGAGCCAACATGGTCAGAGCAGAGAGACTGGCAGAGCTTGTGGTAGGATTTCATGCAGCGCGCACACACCCTTCAGGAAGAACCCGAATCACAATCAATCCCTTGTTTTATTCTCCAGCAAAGAATGAAAATCCGCTCACTCCCTGCCTTCTTTTCGCTGAAGTGACCCATAAACAGGAATCTTTAATAAGCTCATGAATAACAAAAGCTTTTATGGTTTTATCTTTTATGTTGATCTGTCTTTACTCGTTTTAGTGACTGTAAAAACTTGTCTCGTTTGGCCGCGCTACATTCCAAGTCTACGGTCCAACACATAGAGAGGTTCATTACCTAAATGGGCCAATATCTGGAAAGCTTTGCAAAGCTAACAAGTTAGCCAACGGGGGGAAAAAAGGCACCTCATCTCTAAGGCAGATTTAAATCATGGATCGATGTGTCTGGGAGGACAGTTTCTATTTACAACCTGCTGTTTACTGCAGTGAAACTGGAGGCCGCGTTGGGCAGTCGGCCTCCTCTGCTGGTACCTGCCTAAAACAACACGACCGCATCGTGAAGAAACTGGGAAGCCTGGGTGAAAGTTAGCTCCTTCCATGTTTCTCAAAGACTTTTGAGCTATCGCAGCAGCGCGGCAGTTCATCAACACCTTTACGCCTGGCTGTTATGACACCTCACGTTGGCCGGCTTCTTTCTCACTTTCGGCCATTTGGCTCGTCGCTTGCAGCTGAGTCAAGGCCAGGCAGACCTTGTGCCCCGCAGGCTCACTACAGCAGGAACTTTTCCTCGCTTTGCTCACATCGATGTATAACTGGCAAAGCTCAAGATACGGTCCCCTGATGTGTGTAAAACGTTTGTATGCCTGTGTTAACAAGAAGCCAACGAGGACACGTTCGGGTTGAAAAGTTAAGACTGTCAGTGCAAATTTGCCTGAAGAACAAGCCCGGTTTGATGTCGGCCTACTTGTGACTTGACGGTGATTAAATTCTGCGAATAAGCTGATTGTTGGATCGGTTTTAGTATTTGTTGTTAAAACGGGCTATCACCAAGTAACTGTACCTCAAAACTTCCCTCTCCCAATTTCCATTTTTCCCTAAAATTGGCCCGTTAAAATCCCTGTAGCAACAAGTTCTCACATTTTCAGAAATGGCCCACACAGTTGCAGCTCATTTATGGTGCATTCCTTGTGCACTTACAGCAAAAACCTCAATGAACAACTTTCATTATCCTAGCCAACCAAGAAAAAGGTTTTCCTCCCATTTGCCTTTAAAAGCCTTTGTTAGCTGTCCTCAGTAGGGTTTAGTAAACATCTTTATGACCCACTAGGTATGTGAGAGCATGTGCCGCTCGCCTGAGCGCTAATTAGCTTGGCTACATCTGAGAACACTCAGAAGCTACTGCTGAAAAGAAGTTTTTTTGTTTGTTTTTTTTAAAGAAAGTCAAGCACGCTTAAGGAAGTCTTGGCTCTTTTGTTCTCAACCCTGGATCCTGACTTTGGTGAAAAATGAAAAGGGAAGAACAATCCAAAGATCTTTGTGAAAAAGGATTATTATTCCATCTGAAAGTGTTCATCACGATAGCAGATGTTCAGCATGTAGCGGCTTAGCTGCCTCATTTAGCATTCATAAAGGAAAGAAATTCCACAAATGTGCAATATCAACAGGCTGCCTATTGAAGTCGAGCATCCGAGCACAAATACAATGCGCTGAATGTTTGGTACTTTCATTCATGATTCGGACGTTGCGAACAATGAAGCCGTTCCCAGGTCAATTCCCACACTCAATCAGCAGCACTTGAACCTTTGAAAGTTGAAGGACTTCCAGAATGTGTGGCATTCACATACAAAATATTCGTCTGATCATAGAACAGAAAGGCTCCACAGTGAAGTTTGTTCTGTTCAAGGCTTTTGTGTCAGTTATACTGTGAGTTTTCAACTATTATAAACTATTTTAACCTTGAAAAAAATGTATTTTTTCTTTTTTTTTGCTTTAAGTTGTAGCTATATGTGCGTATTGCGGAGGCGTGCTTTATTCAAACTGTTCACATAACATTTTCTAAGAGTTTTCAATCACTCTTTATTGCTCCTGTCACTATAAACAAAAGCACTGTAGCCTGGTAAAGCAATAATGCAGAATGGCTTAAGTTAAACCATTCAAACCTTCACCTGTCATGGCTGCGCTGACGTTAGGCTGTTTTAAAGACATCTGATAGCGGACTGCTTTCTAAACTACAGTATGGATGTGGCCTTAGCTATCAGTGGGGATGTGAAGGCCACTTCTTTGTCTATTTAGAGGATCTAGGCTCAGATAACACTGGATGTATTGCCCAAACATGGCCCGTATTAACAGTTGTGTATAGGTCTCTTTTGGCCTGTACTGATAATGTTGATTCATGGTGAGAATGGCTGCTTCAGCTCAGCCACAGGCGGACACAATAGAGCGGCCAGATGTCAGATGTGCTGTGACATTTGGGCCACATTTGGTGCACTCATGTCAAAAGTAGCTCGTAACTTCAGGGCTGACCCCACAGAATACTTGGAGTGCCGTAACTGAGCCATAATTTCCAATTACGCCTGAATGTGCCTGCTATGTGGGCAGATGCTCACTGACATTCAGGTGATTTTAGATTATATACATATAATACAGATGTCACATTTTCATGCTGGCTCTGATCTGTAATATCTCCACAACAATTACACACCTTGCAGTATGGATGAGTTTTGTAAGCCACGCGTGTAGCTTAATGTAAATTTACAGAAGATTCACAGGATTTGATTAAAATTTCCGTTATTTTCATGAAACATCTGCACTTTGATTTAAAGTTATATGCTTTACGGGGTAGTCGGGTCAAAGAGAAGAAAAGAGAGGCTTTGTAATGGATTTTGTTACTAGCTACATTCCAGCTGTAGTCCCCGCAGGTAAATGTGATCCAGTGACCTCAGCATTTTAAACATTCTGGCTATGGTCCTGTCTGCGGGCTCATTTATCAATCCATCCATCCATTTCCTTAACTACTTAACCATACAGGGTGGGGCCTATCCCCAGCTGCCACTGGGCGAGAGACAGGGTACACATGGAGAAATTGCCAGTACATCACAGAGCTAACAGGGAGAGACAAACAGCCATTCACATCCTCACCTACGGCTAATTTAGAATCTGTAATTAACCTCACGTACATGACTTCGCACCGTGGGACGAAACCGCATGCCAGACAAAACCCCCGAGTGTAGGTGTGCTTTGTTTTAACAACATAATAAGACCCAAGGCTGTAAAAATAGGAATTTGCCTTTAAGAACAAACAGATTTGTTCCACTAAAATGGTTTTGTCCACATTTCCCACAACATTGTTTGATTTCCCCGACCATGTCATAAGCTATTCGCTCACATCTTTGCTCCTCATGTTTGGCTTTACAGCAAAGGAAAACTCAGTCAAGGTCAATAAAATATCAGAGGTATGTCTTCATTGAACAGGCTTTTGAGGCACGAATGTGTCCCTACATTCATGCCTGTGGAGTTTTTTTTTTTCATTGTCCAAGGTGAGCTACTGGTGCATTGTGGGTAGCTTTGGAATGAAAAGGATGCAAAAGGGGATCAGTGAAAGTCTGCTGCATAATTGGAAATTACACCAAAAAGCAGATGGAAGAGGCTTCTCTCAGCTTTGGATGGAACATATTTGGACTTTTTGTTCTGAACAAGCTGAGCTCCAGATGAATGCTGAGTATGGGGCTGCAAGCCACCTTTGGAGAGCTGAAGACCCCCTTAATTTACCACAGAGAGACCTCGTGGCGCTGATGATTTTGAACTTAGTCCTGAAAATATTTCCTTTTCTTCTTCTTCTTGTTCTTCTTCTTTCCACCTCCCCCCCACCACCTCCTCCTTGTTTCTCCACAAGAGCTTAATCCTTCTAACCAGCACCACATGTCCTGGAAGGCTGCTGGAAAACTCTGGAATCTACTTTTGCCCCTTTAACAATAGCATCTACATCTAAAAAAAACTCCAAGCTGTGTCAAGTGGGCGCTAGCGCCGAGAGCGCTGCAAAAGAAGCAAAAGTTGAGCGGTGACCTCAGAAGCCCTGCCTCCGGCTCACTTTGTGGAGATCGAGATGTGCCAATCACAAATTATTCTTTCAGCTGGCTGCACAAAGTGGAGACTTGTTGCTTATGCACATCTAATTCATATTGATTTGCACAGGCCAACCAAGGGCGGGGACTGGCGGGATTTTTTTTTTCTTCTCTTAGATGGGAAAATGTCTTTTTATTTCCTCTCCAGAGGTTTATCAGCTACAGAAACTCTTCTCTTTAATCCAGTATCTTATCTTTGCTCTTTTTTATCAGGGAGCAGCAAACATTCTGTCGTTGCATGAAATCATAGGCCGCAAACGCAGTAACTGTGCTGTCACGTGTTTTTACAACTGCTGGGACATGCTCATCTCACGCTGCTTTATAGGGCGATGACTTTACTCCTTGTTAAAAGTACATTAGTGTCACGCTGTGTATATACTTGTGAAAGAGGATGCTTCATTTCAGCAATTACAGTAAGCAGTCCTTAATTCACGTTCAGACGGGTTGAGAGTCTCTGTTCATTGGTCATCGGAGGTTGTGCAAACACCAGGCTTTTGTGAGCGCACCTGGGAACATCCATCGCAAAGTGTACATTCATCACGGAGTGGATTTTCAAACCGAACGTTGCTGCTTACACAGCTACCCGCCCAAAGTGGGATAAAACACGAAGCCAACAAAAGCAACGGTAACTTAAAAAGCAGAAAGAGGGAGGGAACTTTACTTTAGAGGATCGCCCATTAAGTCGTCTAAGATTGATTAGCACCTTTGGATCCTTTACCTAATGCGTCTTTTTCGCTCTAGCCTCAATTATTTCCTCTGTCCATTTCTCCCCAGCCCACCAAATTTTTCCACAGGGGAAAAGGTCAAGGGGAGCTGGAGTCAGAGATGAAAGCACTTGATAATACCTCTTCTGTCAGCTTCACTTCCCTTCACTCCCCGCATCCACTGATGTGACATCGAGTGTTTTTTATGTCACGTTTTCCATCCTTGCTCTCTCTGGAATTTGGTTTGACCTATTCGTTGTAGCTTTTATGAGGAAACTTTAATCAAGTGCTTTATTTGCTGAACACCGCAAGTGGTATCCAGTTGCCATCAACTGGAGCAGCGACTCGTCCATGCGGCACAAAGGGTTTGTGAGGGAAAACAAACTTTTTCATGACAAGTTAGCGTAAAACGTGTCATTCGCTGTCATATCGATGAACCATCTCACAAATATCTCACGAAAAATATATACACTGCCAGTCAAATGGTGCCATTAGAACAACAGAGCCCGCTTTGAGAAGTCTTACATATGAAGCATATTTGGCTCTGATTAAACCTACTTGCTACATAATTTCTTCGGTTTTTTTCATAGTTTTGATGTTTTCAGTAGAAATTGACATAAAAAGAAAAGGCTTTTCCAGCCTTTTGAGTACAACGGATAAAAAAACATAAAATGAAAACTTAAGTTTATAATTAAATAAATACATAAAATACATCAGCCTGTCCAAAGCTTGAGAAATTTTGGAAAATTACCTTGGCATTGACAGTTCTGCACATAATATCATAAATAAGACACCAATTCAACTTGGGGTCTGGCTTAACTGGAAAACCAGAGAAAAGAGTCTCCATCCATTTAGATAATTCCAGGAAGGAAATATGCACACAGTACTCCCCTGTACACTCCGACTTCTGCATGCATTTAACTCAGAATGTCTATAACATGTCAATTAGTGAGCATTAAAGCATTTTTCAGGCCAATTTCCTCACATTTGGAGAGGCCAAATCTGGCAGTCCTGCTCCATTTGCAATCTTCACGCTAAGCTAAGTGACTGCTAGCAGTAATTTCATATTTATGAAAAGTCACGCAAGCGATCATTCTTTTCATCTAAGTCTTAATATGTCCATTTCTCAAAATGTCAAACTACCCAGAAAAACCCTGGACTCGTATCGCCTGTATTTTGTTAAACAATTCTGCAAGGCTACGTTGTTAATTAGCGTGTCAGGGCAGCCACAGAACGGGATGTTCGAAACAAAGTTTGGACTTACCAGGGGTCCCGTTTCCCCAGGCTGTCCTGGATCACCCTGTAAGAAACATAAAACATAAAATCGTTAATGGAATCAGAGCGTGTTATAATCTTACCTAAAATAAGTCTTGCATTTAAAATGCTGCTTTTCTCCATATTACGTTCAAATTCCCTCTATTATAGTATCAAATAGCCACTATATGGTGCATAGCAGCCAGGCTGAAAGAGGAACTCGCCGCTGTGCCACCTGCACCCTGCACTGTATGTTTCCAGAAACCTTGTTCTTGTTTCGACTTTTGGTTCATGTCTATCGCACCGATGTTCCAACAGTTCGTGGTGTAGCAGAGAACTGTAGGAACATGCCAAAGCGATCTTTGTACATATTTGATTGGTACGTCTTTGCAGGACGATTTTTGCGACGCTCCTCCTGAGCTATTCATGAAAGGAGACCTAAATCACAAGAGCAATAAAGAAAACCAATTTCTTGGGAAAACGCAACAACTACTGCCACTGGAAGAATTGCAAATCATCTTAAAAACTTGGAAAGAACCAGATAAACAACACTTAATATTTTCGCACTCCCACTGTGATCTCTGCCAAGACAATAAAGATCTGGATCCCTCAAGGTTTTATAGCTCAACATAACTGACAGGCCTTTTCTGTTTCTTCTTTCTCTCACAGGCAGAGTTCACATAAATTAGCGTGATGCCAATGACAGGCTTAAGAACATGGAAAACGTTACGTGGTAATGAAAAACAACTACGTGAATTTAAATCTATACAGTAAAACCTTCTCCTGGGAGCCTATTCATGTTTAGTTATATAGACGTGAGGGCGATGAATTGTAATGTAGCTTGTCTAGTATTTATTAGAAAGGTTTTCGTTGGAATAAACCCTCCCAGCAACAAGTCAAAATCATACTGAATAGAAGCACAAACAGAGCTGAACTTGTTTAAAACTTACTGGAAATGACAGCGTATTTATTACAGGATACGCTGACAGAATTTTGCTGATCCAAACAAATTTTAATGATACATAGAGTAGAAAAAAACTAGTTGTATCAAACGTTCTCAAATGCCAAGCAACAATCAGTACTCACCGGTAGACCAGGCACACCTCTGGGCCCATCCTTACCAGTGTCTCCTGGAGGCCCCCTCGGTCCAGGAGGGCCCGGTGGCCCCGGGGGCCCAGGTGGCCCTGCTTGCCCCTGATCTCCCTGTGTGGCGAAATAACACATTAAAGAATCATTATGGTGTGTTATTTTTGGACTGCTGATACTGGAGCCACTACAGTGAAATGATAATTAAGAGAGAGTCGTGGAATGTTCTTGTGGGTGGCGATGGGCTGCCTCCATTTATAACATGACAAATGAGCTTTTTGGAGCTAGCATACAGCTTAAGTTAGGAGGAGCTGCAACGTAATGATTTGTAGCTGAAATATTAATCCTTTAAAATGCATGCAATCCTACAGGGCCATAATGAGTTGAGTAAGGATGGTGCTTTAGGTAACGACTCCAAAAAAACAAAGAAGTCCCATTTGAAGTTGACAAGTATAGAGCTACGATAATCAGGGGAAATATACTGAAAATGTGTGGTCCATTATAATACTGCATTATAAGAAATTCTATGAAAATATTCTGCAACCTAAGTTGCAGGGAAAAACCTTTGAGTGGTGCCAGGACAGTAATTCATTTTACCTTAATAAAAGCTTTTTTAAAAAATGAAGTTTCCATATTTTCCTTTAACAATAACAGAAGGAGCATGAGTGCTTATGACAGGTCTGTCTGAAGGCTTGCATGCAAAGTGGCCAAAGAGAAGTGATTTGGTGAGACTTGGCACGGTGGACAGAGAGAGTGAGGACACACCCACTACCTTAATGAGCCGTCGCTTTATGAGCTGCTGGTCAGCGGAAAGAAAGCCATGATTGATCTTAGGGAAGACCATCTGAGCAGGTGTGTGAGGTCAAGAGGTCGTAGGTCAGAGGTGAGAGAAGGTTGAAGAAGGATGAAGTCCCAGAGGAGGAAGAAGAAGGAGGAGGAGGAAGGCAAATGCAAAAAGAAACAGATTCTGTTAGAAAGGCCTGTGTTCATGAACTCCGGTCCAGCACCTTCACAGATGGGGTGGTGGGAGAAATCCACACTTTTCCAGCACCGAGGTGGTTTGCTGAGGAAGTCTGGGCTTATTTTTTGGAGCCAGGGCCCATAATTATCACCTCTGGGGTGCGAGCGCGCCACAGCGAGTTCGCAGTCCCCTGGAAAAATGGGAATCGCTCCTCCACTGTGAAAGTGCCGTCATCATCATCGTCGTGCCTGCTGCTAAGTCAGACCCTGAGAGCTGCGCACACTGAAACCAGCGAGGTCAAACCTTTGAGTTGAGGTTCATTTCTAATCTTTTTCCAGCACATGTCTGATTCTGCTGGTGTCCATTGGTATTTGGCACTGAAACAATCCCCAAAGCCGTGCTAGAGGATCGGAGGATTTGTGGTGAACCATGAACTTGAGCTTTAAGAAAAAAAATGCCACTTTGCTTCATCACTGAGTATTCCTCTGGGAGTTCCTTCAATTCATTTTAGCATCAATGGACACAAGCCAAACCATCTCTGTGTTCAGGATGTTGCCTGCTTAGTCACCTACATATTACCAGGTTGTAACAGGCCAACGCATTCACTTGACCTGCCTAGCATGTCGACTGGAGAACAAACCTCTTGAGCGAAAAGACTAGTAGCAGAAGTGTTGAGAAGAGGCTAATGGTTGACCTGCTGTGATTAATTAGATTGCACTTTTCCTGCGTGCACTCTATCATTACTCCTTGAGAAAGGCAGCCAACAATTTACTTCCAGTGTGTGCTGCAGAGGGGTCGGACTGAGCAGCAAGGCAGCAGCACCACCGACAAACCTTGACAGTCAGGATCTGATTGCTGTGCAAAGCAGCCAGCGTAGGGAGACCAGGCAATCCCTGAAGGGACAAATAGCAGAACATGGCACAACACACGCATGATATTCAAACACTGGGTGAACAAAAACAGTTGAAGAAGGAAGGAGACAAGCATCCTGCTTCTAACTAGCCTCATAAATGTTTGAAATATAATATGTGGAATTCTTTGACATGTATATATGAGTTTTTAAGAGCCGTAAAAAGCCAACATCAAAGTTAACTGTCAAACAAAGACTTCTGAGGACCAGACATTTAAATTCAAACTTAAACAAGACCAGGTATTTTATTTTAAACAGCTAACTTTGATACAGTCCAAGTTTACTTTCCTCAATAAAACTGTGTGTTCAATGGCACTGGGATCATCCTGTGTGGGCTGCAATGGCACAAGTAACCATTTCCTCTTGTTTTCTTCCAATTATACGTTTGTTGAAATAATATTCATACAATACACTTTGAGCTATAACAGGCTAGTAAATTGAGAAGTGGCATTGTTCGTTTAGCTTCAGGGAACACAAAGACACTCAAGATGTTTGATGGAAACTCAGTCAAATGGTTTCCAACTCCCTTGTCAACAAACTTCATGACAGATGTGATCCAAACATAAAAACTGGAGGGAAGAAGAAAACATCGGGCTTTCTCCTTGTTAAAAGATGACAATGGTTTACAGCTGCAAAGAAGAGCTTTTATCTGAATCCAGAAACGCTGACATTTTGTCAGCTAAACATGGTTGTCCAAATGCTACAGTCAAATAAATGCAGCCCATTAAATTTAATCACATTGATGGGTATATCAATAGGCTGACACATTTTTATTTCATTGCATTTTATTACATGCCCATTAAACTGCAGCAGATCACTCAAAGTGTCATAAACTAGGCAGGTACGCGTCTAATTGACTAGACACTGAAATGTTGCTGCCCTTGCTAGCTGGTGCCAGAAATGCTAGTTAGCTAAATTATGCTATCAATGTTACAGTGCTATAATGCTATCAACCTCGAAGGTTGAACTCAGGTTGATTTAACACCTAAATTCACCGGGGCATGGGGTGAACCAATGAACTGACATGAACTAGAATTGTTAGCATGTCTGGCTAACTGGCTAAAAAACCTAGCTTTAAACTAAGTTTGCTTTAATTGTTTATTTATTCTTTGACTGAATGTATATAACTACCCACGTAAATATGCAGTGTTGCAGCTGTTGCTTACAGTTTACACTGTACAACTAGATTGTTGGATGTCCCAATTGTTTCTATGATATTTCAAGTCCTTTATTGCACTTGGGAGATGTTACCAAAAAAACAAGCATTAGCCAAAATGTAGCATTTGCCACACACATCGGATCCTGTTCTTCCTTAAAGCCTTTGATCTCCTATTACTCAAATGGAAAACATATGTTTTGAAATATGAGAAAGTTCATATGTCAAGAAGCCATGAACAATTATTTTTATGTTTAAAGCAGCTAAATGCTAAAGAGAGTTTTGCTATATTAGGGGACTTGTAGCCTAGCTATGATATTACATAGGCAGAGATTAAGTATGTATTTAAGCCCAATTTTTAAAAATGTTTCTCTTTTTCATACTAAGTCAGCTGGATAATAACATGCTGGAGTCAGTAGTTTTAACCAGTTCTTGATCAATATGGCTCATTTGAGATTGTAGCAGTTGTTAGTTAAAAAATGAAAGCCTGCCTTTCTTATGCATTGTGTGACATGGAAGCCCTACTTAAAAAATCAACTTGTACAAGGTGAGCTGGTGTATCACTGTAAACTAAAACTGCTGTGCAAACGGTGAAACCCTGAGAGGTCTTAGAAGGGGTAACTGAAAGGAGTGTGGTGCTGATATAAATACATTTTTCTTTAATAATGAAACTATAAAATGGCACCAAAAGATGACCACACACTGGTTGCACAATCGCTGCATATTCACTTGTTTATCCTCTTATCCTGCAGGTTTGCTCTGTCAGAAATAACCAGCCTGAATGAAATGATGAAAACATATCTTAAAGACTGGCAGAGTAGCATAAACATGGCCTGCAAGGGATCAATCTTTATATATATTCAAGTTTAAGATAAAATCTGTCCTATCCAAACATGGCTTTTGTGCCGTCCCTCTGGATTTCTAAAGATAATTCAAAAAGCATGGCTCATTAAGAATATGGGTTTCAAGGCAGGCTAATTTAATTCAGGCCTGCAGCTGAGCACAGCAGTGGATACTCTTACACTGTATACAATAGCCACGCTGTGCATAACTGGAATTGAAGCGCAAGTATTTTTCAAGTTATTTACAACCTCAAATGTTATTTACAACTTCAAATGTCTCGAGGACAAAGAGGGAAAGCAAGCACTGGATTATGATCAGTGGGAATAGAGAATATAAAAAGTCAAGGCATGAAATGTAGTGTAGTTTGTGTGCAGGCTGGCACATGCGAGTGCTTTCTGGGATGTCTCTAGAGTGGTGAATTTAAACCGTACGGTCATTCTCAGATGCCAGCAGGGGACAAACGAAGAGAAAGTGGCGGCCATTCTGACAACAACCATGTCTAAAACACAATTCAGGCTTTCTGTGCAGGAGGTTAAAAGGCAGAGAAGCTTGGCTAGGTGTGGGTAAACTCTTACTCTTGCCTCCAAGCTGATGTCAATATGTGAGAATGATAATGACATGGTGGTTGACAGAGAATCCTAACCATTCGCAGACTGCCTTGTTTTGCTTTGCTAAACCGAAACGGATGTTGGTTATTTGGTAAGGAGCTTTGTTTCCATGTATTTGCCTGCAGCGAGGTGACTGGGATCTGTAGTAAACAATAAGCCGTATACGAGGCCAACAGGCATCCTCATTTATAGGACGCTGGCCAGATCCAGCATCTCCTCAACCACACCAAACACACAAAACATCCCGAGCGACTACAGGCTGTGGCATTTTCTGAATATCTATATATGGAGTGAATTACCAGCTCTGTACACAGATGGCTTTAATACATTTAAGTGTGTAATAACACATTCATCTGAAGCCTCAGATTTGGCATCAATCGGATACATCAAATTTATCTCGAGCGAAATTAATTTGAAGGCTTTTTTGATTTCATGCACAAATACACTGAAAATAATTCTTTGTTCATGACTAAAAAGTCAAATCCTGGAAATTATATAATCGTGGCCTCTTTATTTTGGAAGAATATTGCACATCGGTCACATTTGGGCAGTTTATTGGGAATTTTTCAGATTTTTTTTCCCCCTTCAGTGAACCCAGGAATTGTTCAACCTTTGCTTGACAGCTGTAGCTGGTGCCATCTCTCAAAAGGACCACACACCTTTCTCATTGATATACATAGCTACTAACTCCTGTTAATTGTATTTTAAAAGTGGAGTTCCAGAGCTGGCTGTGTATATGTTTGTTAAAGCTGGCCGATTTATTATTTGCTGCTTGGTTAACCTCTGATGTTTGGAGATGACCTTTGACCTTCAGGGCAGACAAATGGCTGACCGTGACATGCGTGAAACAGGCAGAGGAAGTAGGCATCTGTGAGGGAATTCTCTCGGACACATGGCGAATCTCTTACCGTCTTTGGTCACAGAGGATCAGGCTCTAAACTGATCCCCTGATGTTACAAGAAAACACACCAAAAAAAAGTTATTTTAAGTTTAAATCTGTTTATATTTGAAGGGAATTTGCCAAACTGGTGCATACGGGACACTCTTCACATGTTCTCTTGTATACACGTATCTCCATATGGCTTTAATCAACTCCCTGCACACAGTCAATACTGGGCATGAAATTGGCTTCACTTCCAGCCTGATAGATGGACTCAAGGTCAGGCAGTACTCGTCCTGTTATGCCTTCATTTATTAAGGAAAACCTTCTAATACCGCTACACTACATTTACCTACTAATCTAATGTGCAAAGTCAATATGCTGCTCTGGGAAGTTAATACAATTTAGCCGTGACCAAGACTGCTTTTATGCCCCTGCAGTCCGTCACATATGACTACAACACCGTGTTCATTTGTACCTGTTAGGGGACAGTTTTGCCATAACCGGGAGTTAATGAAACTCTTTCATGAAATGGACAGTTTGTTTATGTAGTCTCTAAGACAAATAGGACCTGTGAAAACTCCACCGGCCACACTGCTGTTTCCAAAACATAAATCATTTAACTGATAGTGACAGATGGCTCCACTTCCGAGGTTAAAAGGCTACAAATTAGGAGCAAAACAAAGAAATCCTATCCAAATGAGGACATTTTGTTCCACTAAAGACATTTCCTGTGAGTTTCAGTACTATGGCACTTGCAGCTATAATTATTATGAAATGTCTTTTATTGAACCAAAAACTAACAGAGGATATGACTATATTTTTCATCTCTTTTCTCTCTTTTTTTTGGGTTTTTGTAGATATTGCAAAAATGGAAAACCACCTGGAAAACTACAACCTGACTGTAATTTGAAGAGTGCCCATGTGTAACATTAGATCTATCACTAATCGAATTTCCCAGAAAAGGTCATTCAAATCACAAGAAAATCTCCTGCTTTTTTAGCCCTGAGGGGAGCTGACTAACGTCTGGGTGGGCATCGAATATGAACTGGGATCACATCCGCTTGGGAAACTGAAACAAGACAAACTCTCTTGTCCTGCTGTGCCATGCTTAAAGAAATCAGTCACCGGGATTCAAAACTACTGACTCCACATGATACAGAAGAAGTGGACCCGTGCACGTGGGTTAATGCAGCCTACTTTAAACAAACCTGTGCAGCCTGCTTTTCAAAGAGGGCTCATTTATTTTAACCGTTATTTGAGAAAAATGAGAGCTACCCTAGCTGCTAAGTGGAGATAGAGTAATTAATTTCAGAGTCTGTCAAGCACGGAAAAGCACTCACATTATCATCATTTAGAAGCAGCACTTTTATAGAAATGTCAAATGGCAGAGCTGGAAATGATTATAGTTCTGAACATGCCATGTCACTTTGAAGACTGAAGTGAATCGCAAGTAATTATAGCGACTGAGCTCGTTGGCTTTTGATTATTGCTGAGATTAAGCAGAGCTCTTCAGCTGGTGTGCAAAGGCTTGTACTCATATTTAATTTAGAGACACAAGGTAAAAAAAAAATCTAAAAAATTTCTGCATCTTGAAAAGGATACCACCCTATGCTTTCCAAAATATTTTGCACGTTCGTCTGCCCTTTCTTGATGGGGAAATAAGCAGTGCTGAAATGCTTGTTGTATTTGGCCACACTGGAAGAACACTATCCCAGGAATTTCATGCATCCCAAACCTTTTGCCCACAATTCTGCTGGGGGAGATGCACACACACACAGTCACATTCATCTGCTAATCACAAGAAGTCAGAGCAAACCGCATACCCGTGGTCCCTGGTCGCCTTGATCCCCCTGCGGAAAGAAGGAAAAAGAATTTGTCTTCAATTGAAAGGGTCAAACAAATACCCGAACACGCACGCATAAATACAAAAGTGCGGCGCTAATGACGAGCTGAGACTCACACCCAAATTACAGCGGTATAATTCAGAACACATTGATAAAGAAAAATAATGCAGGAACCCTCAACTATCCATTGTGGTTGAGAGTAAAATCACTTATGATAACATGGACTGACATGGATTGGATATGAAAGGCAGAACAGGGAGAGAGCGGTGGTGTGAGGTTTGGTGGGTGCCGTGCCAGATTTTATGCCCCAGAGATCTCTCAGATGGCTTTCTGCCCTTTTCGGGGGTAGATCCCTGCAGAGAGAGCCCGCAATCCTCAAGGAGAAAACATTTGGTTTCAAATCGATCAGCATGGTCAATTGTGGCTTTATCACATTACAGTAAAAGCCCAAACAAAAGCAAAGTTTAGACTCAGTTTTTTATTATTTTATTTTGAAACGAGTGGAGGCGGACAGTGAAATATAACTGTAATCTGTCTAGAATTGGGTAAGCGAACATCCTTAAACCATCTCATTTGGTGCACGTCGCTCTCCTGTTGGCTCAGTTTACAGTTTCGCCACAGCGGTAAAATGAGCCGACCAATCTTTCACACATGGATGGGAATTGTGCTCAAACAAACTTTGAATGCGATGCCTGAACAAATTTCAAATAAAACATCTCTTGGAATTTTTTTGTAATTTTTCATTGGGCCCTTGTTCCAAAAAGCCCAGATTTAATGGGAAAACGGTTTATTCATCTTGGGTGGGAAGAATGCACACAGTTGTTTTTCATTTCATTAAACTGCAGATAAAGTGGTTCACATGAGAAGCATGAACATGTATCTCATCAGCAGGAACATAGTTAGTCACAATTATCATAATCAGCCTTCAAAAATCATAAATCTGCTGTTGTAAGCCAATCTGATGCACTCTATTTTTCCTTGTGTTAAAGACCCAGTATGGTTTCAGTGGCTCTACCAGAAAACACAGGATATGGCTTTCATTCATGCTTTTATTTTTATTACAATTTTCATTAAAAATTCGCCTACAAATAAGAATCATCAGTTTCTATCTACAAATCAAAAAGCTGGCTCCACAGTATGTGGACCTTACTTTCACACCATTTCATTGTATTTCTTCTGCTGTACACCACAGCAGTCCTTTATTGTGATGTTACCCAAGTCACTGCATTAATCATTTATTGATGAATTAACTGTTAAAGTCTTAATCTTCCTCAGGAGCACGTTAGATGTTTGCACTTTAAAGTTCCCTTTTCTATAAGTGAATTCAGGGACTTTAACTCTGGTGTAAATTCCTCAGGCCCACATTTTGTCCCCGAGTCCTGCAGTCTTATAAAGAAACTGTGCGGTTATTTTGCATGCTCAGCTGCTGTTTTATGGAGGAGTGCTCAGTGAGGCATTTAAGGGGTTTCAACTGAGGGCTCAAACTTCTGGTCTTTAATGCTCTGTGCTATAGATTTGTGAACTGCAGGCTAATCTCAATACTAGGACTTAAGGTCAGGATGAAGTGGAAATGCAAAATGAAAGAAGCAGATGATGAATGGTGCAGACCAATTATCGACGTGAAGACTAAAAGCAAAGATATTGGATATTAAGGATATACATGTGAAATTTCAAGAAATTCATTTCATTTCTGTGCAACAGTAAATTGCAAGCTAGCATGAGTCCGTTAGCTTTGCAGTGAGCCCAGAAACCACATGTGTACAGGTCTAACTATAAACTCTGATCTATTCCTCTGTAAAATACAAGAGTTTTCCTTTGATTTCACAGGCTATTTCACAATCATTTTAAGCTGACTAAACATTAAGGGCCAGATTTATATTCTTTGTAAATTCCAACATTACTTTTTTTTTGCACTAAAACTCAGTTTGCGCCAGCACACGTGCTAATAAATCAAGTCCTCTTTGATCTGTCTTACACAAAATTAAGTAAATGTTAGCTTATGTTAAAAAAAAACACAAGCATTGAATGTACCATTAAGATTCTGACAATGATGTCTGTCAGTGAAATTTGAGGCTGTATGTGTTGTGTTGTGTAATCCTAAATGATCTGTTTCTTAGCACTGACACGGACCCACCCTACAGTAACAGTTAGCGTAGACATGCGCCATAATTGGAGCTACAAATGCATAAAAAATGTTTGTCTTTGTGTGTGGATTCCCAAAAAGAGGGGAGTGGAAGGACTTCTTTCAGGACACACAGCACAAAACTGGTTTCAAAGATGGAGATATCTTATCAATTCACATAAAGAAGCTGCAGAACTGTATTTAGAAAGAAATCCTGCTGCTACTTCCAACATAAGATGAAGCAATTTGATATGAAAGTTTGCATTTCTTTAACCTCCAATAATAAATATGAACCAAACCACTGAAGATGAAGCTATTCTTGATTGCTTTAATTATTTATTGTGTATAGATCTTTTGCCTCAGTCGCCATACATGCATTGGGAGTTGTTCTCCAACTGCACAGTATGGCTGCTGCATTGATGCATTTTTCCAATGAACAGCACCAACCAGTGCAGTATATGTAGGCTTTCATGCTGCACACAAGGGGACCATCTTGCATAGCTAACTAGGTGAATTTCATTGCCTTTAGACTCTTAAGAAAAAAGCTGTGGGATGTCAGTATTTCTCCATATTAACTGTGCAACAAAAACACCAAAGTATACAGTTACCCACCTTTTCACCCTTTGGACCAGGAGGGCCCTATGAAGAGAGAGAGAGAGAAAAAACAGATTGTTCAAACTATTACAGCATAAAAGAACGAAGAATCTATGTTCCAAGTCACTTGTAATTGTGAAGACAATCATGATGTTGTCTGGAAATATAACAAAACTATTTAAAACCGGGGTGACCAATCACGTTAAAAAACAAACAGAGCCGCTAAGCGAGGCTCGAACGTCAAGAAGTGAGACACAACTGAAAGATTAATAAACTGACTTTGTGTACTTTCTGACATCTTTCACGATTTGATTAAAATCCGCTGTCACAAACTGGGAAACAGAGCACTGTAGGCAGCAGGGCTTATGCAAACATACAATTAAAACCTAAAACAGGCCCAAATCAAGTCCATGTTTACTTAGAGGATCAAATCCAACAATCTCCAACCAAGTATTGGCAGGCACGTTGTAAAAAAATGTGCCCTGAAAAAGAGGACTACATCTTTTTTTTTGGTGAGGTAGCTTCCAGCATCCGTCAGTCGGCAGGCAGCACCTCCTGGGTGGGCTCTGTAAAAGATCGTGGGGTTAAGGAGAAGATCTGACAATGAGGTGTGCATCCACATGCTGAGCTTAACGAGTACGTGTTAAAAACTGCTTCTTCTTTTTAAATTCAAGTTGAATGCTGAAGTATGTTGGGTTTTTTCTTGGGAGGTCAGGCATTTGATCATCAAGTATTAGATCATCAACTAACTGACCACCCGCTTAGCAACAATGTTCCTGAGCTCCTGGAGAAAATGCTGTGCCAGTATTAATCTGCATTTCACTTACAAAAGAAATCCTATTTGTTTTCACTGGCCATAAATAAAATGTGAATATGAGAACAGAACAGAATCTTTAAAAACCACAAAATGATCCTCAGGTAAAAGGAACAACTTGTTCACGAGTAGTTTTAGCATCAAGCACAAAAATCTGTAGTGGTTACCATTCCAGGCTAATCCTCCTCTAACGCTGTTTGTTTCCAAATACAAAAATATGCTGATACTAATCCATAGATTGATGATATTAGTATAAAACCTGTGTTTGGATGCTGTTCCTTTCAGTGTATGGACCAGTGACCCAGAATAGCAGGCTTGGGCTTCCACTGCGCTGGCACACATAGCAGAGTCTAAAACTGAAATGCTCCAGAGGTAATTCAGCAGTTTTCCTCAGCCAATTTCTGCCACACTGCTGAGAGGTAAGAGAGCTGTAGCCAGGTTTCTCCCTGCTCGCTGCCTTTGGATATTATTTTTGATGCTTATTTAACTGTCTGTAACTTTTTAGTTATGTATAGTAGTTCGTGCAGTCCCAACTGGATCTGCACAGGGGCTAATTTGCCTTGGTTTTGGGGGTTGTGAACCTGCACATCAAGCTTGTGCGGTGCATCATCCCATTTATTTAAATACGAGGCTTCCTCAAACCTCAGCGCAGGCCGTAATCCAGACACAAACATCTGAGGACGTGCTCCTGCTGTTCCTTGACCAGCCGTGCAAAGAGGCACAACACACTTGTAAATACAAAATGGGAATATTAGGAAAACAATGTTTCCGACTGCAGTTCCCTGGGGAGGAATAAAGAGGCAGAATATTGGAATCAAATGTGACTTTTACATTTATAATGATGCTGAGGCATTCCAGAGGGGCTAAATAAGTTTCCAATGTTTTCCGCAAAAAGGAAGGCAGCTAAAGGAAATTGGTGAAACTTTGTTTTTTTCTTTTTTCTTTTCTTTTTTTGTTTGAGGAAATTGCCTTTGGATAATGGGAGGCTATTGACATTACTACAAACACAAATGGCTGGAAGAAAAAGAAATATAAATATAAGCACTGCATCGTTTCACAAAAGCCTGTTTAACGTATGATGCTTGGCACTAACACATGCAGTTGGCGCAGATAATTACCAGGCTGAATTGCTGTGCGCCACATTATGTGTAAATGAAGGGAAATTGCAGCGTTACATGATGTAGCAACACAATAAATCCAGAATGTGGAGCAACATAATGGAACTTCATCAAGCCCATGTTGAGCTCTGATAACTGGGAATAAATAAGGATAATGTAGCTGGAGGTGTTGGTTGGGCCAGTTGGTGTCATCCTGGGGTTTAAATAGATATTCTTTATTGTTACATCATTACTGAAGCTATAACATTATGAAGGTGCATTTTTTAACCCAAAACCAGATCATTCTCCACATCTTATCAAAGGTATTTTAAACTAATTTGAGTTCAATTTCATTGGTATAGCGCCAAATCACCACAGCTATTTCAGGCACTTCATATTGTAAGGAAAAGACCGCAATAATCAGAAGACCCCCTATAAACAAGCACTTGGTGAGAGTGGGAAGGAAAAACGTCCTTTTAACAGGAACCAACCCCCCTGCAGAACGAGGCTTAGGGCGAGGCAGCTATCTGTGGCACGTATTTGATTAAATAGCAATTCAAAATTAAACCAAGTAAAAACAAGTCAACAACATAAGAAGCCCAATGGGATGCAAACCCCGGTCTCATTGCTGATAAACCTGCAACTTTTCCAACCTAATTATGTAGGCTTCTAAAACAGGCTAGCTATCTCTTGGGAGCTAGCATCCATACACCAAAAGACACCTTGTAAGTAAGGGCAGATCAAGCATCTGATGAGATATTATAACTGAGTTTAAACGCCTGTAAGTGTCTTTTTTGATAATCAGCACTCCTAAACATATCAGTCAAATAAAACTTGGCAACTGCACTCAGTAGCTTTTTATGGTAGACTTTTTCTCTCTTTTTTTGCTGAAGTGGAACGGTACTTTTGGCACACCTATATCTCACCAAACAGTAATTCCACTCTTCCATCTGGACATAAAGCATGTGGAAATGATTTGGCTGCAGTGTGCACCTGCTCATTATACGCTTCATCATTTGCACATCACTTGGAGAGACAACACGTGCTGGAGCTTTTCCAGAAGGTTTAAGCGAGTGCAGTAAGGGTCTTTTATAGAGACTATTAAAACAGCTCTCTTGCAAAGACTTTTTCCAAAGGAGCAAACTGTACTACAGTGAAACTGCAGTGTGTGTCTTTGTCAAACCGTCTCTGCAGCTTTGTGGTTTCAGTCTGCCCTGAGGAAGCTTTCTAATCAGCACCTGTGTCTGCTTTTCACATCTATTTTACTGCTTCTGCTCTGGCTCTGTTTCATAAGCAGGTGCTCCTTGGGTCATGGCTGTTCATTAGTAAGTTCCTCTGCTGAACACGATTAACCCTCTACAGTGCTTTCCACACCTACTAGATTGCACTTAATTCTTAAATGACTGCATGCATAGCTTAAAATAACAAACTAATTAGGTTTGGCAGAGAAGCAGTTCACTGAAATACACTTCACGTTGTTTGCGTTTTCTTCACTTTGATTTTGTATAGATCAAAAATGTAAGATGCATGCATGTTGACGCTGAATTAAGAGCTTTTTTTCGGTAAAGCCCTACCAGTGTTTGATGCTTGCTAATTACGATCTATGTGTGGATTCTCTCCATCTTCCTTCCACAGTCCAAGGTTAAGTGTGTTAGGTTAATTGGTGATGGCAAATC